ACTCCGGTGATGACGGACATGTGGCCTTCGGCACCGAGTCAGGGTTTCCTAAATTCTCCCATAAAAAATATTTAGGTGGCGACTCTGTATCTGGCAAAGCAGTCCATGTTTGGCACTACTTTTTCAAAAATCTGTCTCTCAAAACGATTTGCGAGATTTGGACTCTTTGGTTCAGATTAAGAACCGTGACATAAATCGAGTCCGAACTGTAGTAGCACGAGGCCCACGCGGGCGCGTCTACACATACATATTATATACATATATACATATATACATATTATATACAGATCACATATCTCTCCCATGTTTTTATTTCTCTGTCTGCCCTATTCGTCTTCGTCGAGAGCTGTGTTTGGCGAGCGATTTTAACAATCATGGCGCGCCTAATCGACAACAGCTGGACCGGCCTCTTTTGTCAAAGATTGACTTGGCTATCTTTCTTCCTTAGCTTCTTCTTCTCTTTCAATCTTTTCTTAAATCGAGGCTTGCGAGAGAGTAGAGCTGAAAGCTGCGTATTCCCTGTACCATTACTCTGCCAATTTCCCTTTGGCATTATAGTCCTCTTGGCATGGCATATTCTTGTTGTCCTCTTGGCATGGCAACAAAAATATATCCTCACAAACTCTCTCTAACTAAAATAAAAAAAAATAAAAATAGTAGATTGGGGGGGGGGGCCTAACAGACCATCAAAGATTGTTATGTTCGACACTGGAAGGCTCTTGGGTTTTGGCCAGGAGAGAATGACTGGCTAGCCAAAAGATGAGCTGGCCGACCAAAAAGTTGTCCGTCTAGCTGGTCAATCAAGCCAGGCTGAAAACTGTGTTTTGCTTCAAACACCAAAAAAACAAACGAAAAATATGCAAATGGCTCAACTAACCACTTCTAGTTAGCTTACAATAGGTTTATAACATGATATTGAAGCAAGAATAATAATATAAAAAAGAAAATGAAAAGTGTGCAAAATTTACCTTCCAATGAAGGATTTGATTTCCTAACTTTCTTGTGATCACCCTTAAGCTTAGGAAGTGTGTTCTCAATTCTTAGTTTAAAATTTTGAAATTCTAGTTAGAATGGTTTTTTTGGGTTGTTTGACAGTGTGTGTGTGGGGAGGAGGGGGGGGAGGAAGAGTTACAACTCGCTATTTTTCTTTGTTTTTAATAACACTCATTGTCTTTTGATCAAAGCTACTTGAATATAGCTATAACCAAATTTATGGAATGATTTTAATATATGGAAATATGAAGTATCAGTGTATGGAAGTGTTTTTGCTCAAAGCTGAAGGCTTTTTCTCTTTTTCTCTCTATCTCTCTCTTTTCTCTAAATTCATTCATCTCTTTTTTCTTTTCCTGATCCTTTCTATATCTTCATATAAATAATGAATGCAAGCTCAATCAAGATGGTGGGAGACAAGGTTGATAGGATGACAAGGGTGGTTGAAAATGGATGCCACCTTTTGGAAAGAAGACAATCCTCCCTTTGAAAATAGAGGCCAAATGAAACTAATAGAGGGGGTGGGTGGGTGTGTACCTCGTGCATGAATATATCAACAAAAGATTTGAATTGGCATGACCCACATGCATCCAACAAGAATTCTGCCAAAACTGCCTTGCTGTTAAGCAAATTATCCATCCAGCCAATTTATTGGTTGGCTAGCCAAAAAACATTGGTTGCCGGCCAATTTCTTGGCTAGTCGGTCAACTAATTGACTAGCCGGGCAGCAAACTTATTGGCTTATTCGCCAATTATTTGGTCGACCGACCAAACAAGTTGACCGTGGCTGACTATTTTGCATGAAACAAGATTTTTTGACAGAATTATAATCATTTCCTCCTATTTCCACATTGTTCTTTGCTCGATTTCCTCAGAAAAAGTTTCAGTTTGAAGTTTAAAAGTGAGCCTCAGAACAATATGAAAATATTCAGAACAAAGTACGAAAAGAAGGTTTCAGAAGAGAGTTTTGAATGAGACTTAAGCACTTGGCCAAAACAGGCTTAGTTTTGGGAATGAAGCACAAACTCCATATGTCTTACTAAGAATCATGCGAGAAACAAATTCTTGTTTTCATCATGGGGTAATCAAAAGAAAGCGCCCAAGTCTTAAGGCCGGTCAAAATGTGGTGTCTATAGCTTTGTGCTTATCCCTAGTGGAATTGTGCAAGAAAGGATGTAGTGATTCTATATAGTTCATGGCATGGAACATGTTGAGAGAAAAAGACTCTCCCCTTTTGTATGATGTTCATGCAAGCCAACGGCTTAATGTGTTGAGTTGATAACTTTTTTTGGTAACCAGACTTAAGCCTCAGAACTTGTACCCTCAGGGCTTTTACTTTTTTGTTCATTTCTTTTCTTCCTTATAGTTGCACATGCTATGGATTCATCTTTTTAGAGGGTGAATATGTATTGCATGTAAAACTTCTTTTGTAAACTCATTCCTTGAAATGAAATAGTAATTGAAGGAGTTGGTCCATCAAGGTAGGATTGCATGTTGGTTTTATCTATTTCATCTAATTTTATTGCTAATATTTTGGAGGCATTATAGCTAGGTATCAGAGCTATCGAGTTTGAATAATTGGGGCTTGTGGGAAGTGACTTAGCCACAATGGGTTCATTTCTCTAATTAGGGGATGTTCCATGTTTTTAAATTGTTATGTGATAACATTCTTACTTGACTAGATGGGTATGGGATTAAACTGGTTTGCATCTACTAAATCCCTTGAAGTCTCATTAGAAAGGCACCTGATCAATGCTCATTCTAATGAGAACTCTCGGTGCTTCGTGGGACTAACCCTATCTTGAATGGGTAATCTATATGTGTTTATGTCACAAGGTGCTTATGTGGAGTGAAACTAAAAATTTTGATAGGAATTAACAGTGTTGTAATTGTTTCGGTGGGATGCATGAGTCTCGGTGGTGAGCATTGTGAAACCATATACTGAGTTGTTCATTTTTGTCCAAAATTAGGATATCAAGATGAGGACAAGCTCGCGGTGATAGAGGTGGGAGACAGGGTAGGCCTCGCTGAGGAGTACACGAGGCATCGATTCATGAGGTTCTGGTGTAAGAGGTGGGGTTTGGCCAAGAAAGTGGAACAAGCGGGAGTCCCAGAGCAAGCGGGTCAAGCCGCTATGGGTGTCTTAGCCAGAGAGATGGCGGAGGCTTTGAGGGAGTCGATGAACATGTTAAGGGTGGAGAATCAGCCCCAAGAAAATGCCGGAGAGACTAGAGTGGCTTTTCTTAGTCAGGAATTTTTACGAGCTAAGCCGGATGAGTTTCATAGGGGTCCAAAGCCCAAGAAGGCAGATGAATGGTTAGAGCAAATAGTGAAGATGTTTGAAATGCATCATATTGAGGACGGTGAGCTTAGGGTGACTCTAGAGAGCTACTATTTGAAAGGAGATACGGGCGAATAGTGGAAATATGCCAAAGGCAGAGTTAAACAGACATGGGAAGCCTTTGTCATTGCTTTCTCAGACAATTACCTACCTCCAACTACTAGGGAGAGACTGAAGCATGAGTTTTTAGACCTTAAATAGTTGAGCACATCACTGGTCGAATTTGAAGCGACCTTTACTTGCCCCAATTTGCACCGGAGTTGGTGATGATGGAAAAATGCCCTTGCATTGAATTTGAGAAGAGGCTTAGAACCAAAATTTTGTTCAAGGTTGCCGGGAACATGATCCGGAACTATGACCATTTAGTAGAGGCGACGACACATGTATAAATCACAATGCAGGCCAAGGAGAAGAGGATCCGAGGCTCAAGATCTAGAGGGCAAGAGTCACAGGGGGACTCTAGGACTAGTAAGAGGCACAAGGGCTTCGCTCCATCTCAGTCTTATTTACACTAGGACAAATCCACTTTTCTATTGCCTGGTGCCGACATGGGGAAAAACACTCAAGGAGGGTTCACTTGTTTCAAGTGTGGCCAGTTGGGTCACAAAACTAATGTATGTACACAGAAGGGAGGATGATAGTAGATGTCACCACCACCACCGCCTAATCAATCTTAGAGTCAGTCCCAGAGTAGGGGACAAGGGCCTACTTGCTTTTAGTGCGTTAGTTAGGACATATGAAGAGGGCGTGCCCATAGTTGGGAGGCGCATCTAGGATATCAGGGTCGAGGCAGACTCCAAGTCACTAGTAGGTTCATTTAGTTCAAGCCTCATGGGCTATATAGGGAACCACATCAGCTCAGTCAGTGTAGTCGACCTATGCTCTGAGAGATGAACAGGTTGATCAGAGGCCACAAGGGTGATAACTTTTATTTCATATGTGATTAGGGTGATAACTTTTTTGCACCATTGTATGACCTTAAGGGTCGGAGAGGGCTTAGTTTTCATTTTTCCCTTTCTGTAACTAATGAAGATAGTGCGATCTGTTTCTAATAATAGTTTGTAAATACCTTGATGTTTTCCCTGAATATCTTAGTGGCTTGCCACCCTACTGAGAGATTGAATTTTCTATCGATTTAGTGCCAGGTACGACATCGATTTCCATGGCACCATATATATTTGCATCCACGAAGTTGCATGACTTGAAGATCCAACTCTAAGACCTTTTAGATAAGGGTTTTATTCACCCTAGTACATCACCCTTGGGAGCACTGACTCTCTTTGCCAAGAAGAAGGACGGGTTAGTACGATTGTGTATCAATTACCACAAATTGAACTGAGTTACTGTTAAGAACAAGTATCCTCTACCCATAAAAGATGCCTTATTTGACCAACTTAAGGGGTCCAGTTGCTTTTCAAAGATATACTTGAGGTCGAGGTACCATCAGGTGAGGGTTAAGGAGGGGGATATTCAGAATGCGACCTTTCACATGCAATATAGCTATTATGAGTTTCTTGTTATGCCATTCGGGTTAACTAATGCCCCAACATCATTCATGGACCTGACGAATTGAGTCTTTCGAGAGTTCTTAGATCAATTCGTAGTCATTTTTGTGGACGACATTTTGATATATTCACCCTCTAAAGAAGAACGTGAGGAACAGTTACACATGGTCCTCGACTTACTTAGAATGCACAAGTTGTTTGCTAAATTTGAGAAATGCAAGGTTTGGCTAATGGAGGTGAAATTTATGGGGCATGTTGTGTCAAGAGAGGGGGTAACTGTTGATTCCTTTAGGATAGACGCTGTACAAGATTGGGAATGGCTTAAGAATGCCTTTGAAATCCGAAATTTCTTAGGGTTAATTGTGAATTACCGCCATTTTGTGAGGGACTTCCCTAGATTAGCTGCATTGTTAACCATGTTGACCAGAAAGCGTGTCAAATATATGTGGAACGAGACTTGTGAGAAGTCATTTCAAGAGCTTAAGGGTAGGTTGATTACTGCTCTAGTTTTGATAATTCGAGAAAGGGGTTTGGGCTATAATGTGTATTGCGATGCATTCTGGGATGAGCTTGGGTGTGTGTTGATGCAAGGAAGGAAGGTTATAGCTTATGGATCGTGACAGTTCAAAAACCATGAGAAGAACTACCCCACTTAGAACTTAGAGCTAGCAGCAATGATCTTTTTGGAGACATTATTTGTACGGTGAGAAGTTTGATGTCTATTATGACCGCAAAAGCTTAAAATACTCGTTCTCTCAAAAAGACTTAAATTTACACCAACATAGATGGATGGAGTTTATAGAGGACAATGATTTTGAGTTATACTATCATCCGAGGAAGGCCAATGTTGTAGCCGATGCCCTTAGCCGAAAGTCTATGAGTACTATGGTGAGTGTGGCCATTCGGGAATGTGTTATATTGCGTGATATTGGCAAGTATGACTTGTATCTTAGCGAGTCTAGTGAAGGTGCTACCTTGTTTACTCTGATTGCACAACCCACCTTGATTAGCAAAGTCATAGAAGTACAATAGGATGATCATGAGGTGGAGGCAATCCATGAGAGAATCTCAAATAGGAAGGAAGAGAAGGGTTTGAACATCCATTCGGATCTCAGTGTGAGATATTTTGACTATTTGTTCATGCCAAAATCTTATAGAGAAAAGGTGGTTCGGGAGTTTCATGATTCACGCCTGGCGGTACATCTGGAAGGCACAAAAATGTACCTAGATCTGAGTCGTCAATTTGGTGAAGGGGCATGAAACGAGATGTTTCTTCTTTCGTATCGAAATGTGTCACTTGTCAACAGATGAAAGCCAAGCACCAAAGAACAATGGGTTTGTTACAACCCATACCCATAACTGAGTGGAAGTGGGAACATGTTACCATAGATTTCGTGGTTGGACTTCCAAGGACACAATGGGGTAACAATGCTGTTTGGGTGATTATTGATTGGTTGACTAAGTTTGCACACTTCATTCCTATGCACACAGGTGACTCAGTCGATTATTTGGTAGAGTTATACATTGGAGACACAGTTCGACTTCATGGGGTTCCAGTGACCATTGTTTCAGATAGAGACCCTCGTTTTACCACCCAGTTTGGCAGAGTCCTCAAGAGGTATTGGGAACTAAGTTGACCTTTAGCACAACCTATCATCCTCATGAACAATCCGAGCATGCTATACAAATTTTGGAAGATATGCTTAGGGCTGATGCTTTAGATTTCTAGGGGTCATGGGAGAGACACCTATCATTGATTGAATTTGCCTATAATAATAGAAATGGTGCCATTTCAGGCCTTGCAAGCCGACCTTATAGATTACCGGTTTGTTGGGCCGAAGTAGGAGATGCACCGATGCTGGACCTAGAATTAGTCAGAGAGACGACTAAGAAAGTTTCTTTCATCCGAAAGAAATTGATTACGGCTCAAAACTGACAAAAGAGTTATGTCGATATGAGGAGATGACCTCTATCTTTTGAGATCGGTAACCACGTGTTTCTTAAGATCTCACCGAGGCAGGGTTTGATGAGGTTTCAGAAAGGTAGAAAACTATCTCCAAGGTTCATTGGGCCATTTGAGATCTTAGAGCGGATTAGAGAGGTAGTATACCGTTTAACCTTACAGCTATAACTTTTGGAGTTCACGATGTATTTCATATTTCCATACTTAGAAAGTATGAACCTAACACTTCGCATGTGCTTGATCGGGTTGATTTAGAAGTAGATGAGGATGCTTATTATGAGAAGCGATCGGTCCAAATATTGTATACTTGAGAACAATTGTTGAGAGAAAAAACCATACCCTTGGTGAAGGTGTTGTGGAGACATCATGGTGTTGAAGAGGCAACTTGGGAACGGGAACCGAAAGTCCGCTCTAAATACCCGAATTTGTTTAACAATGTTTAGTTGATTTGTGGTCTTGTGTACTTTGATGTTGTTGTGGGAATTGAACTTTTCAATGCTAATTACAACTTTTTGAACCCCCAGTGATTTGGAAAAGCATAGATTTGATAAAACTCATCAAATGTTAATGAAATCATCAAGTTGTTGAAACATACACTAAGTGATCATATTGTTAGTGTTGACATGAATCTTCTATTGTGGTATTGTTGGATTAGAATTTGTCCTTGCAGAAGAGATTGATTTAATTTCGGGGACGAAATTTCCTAAGGTGGGGAGGTTGTGATGCCCGACTCCTTTAAAGTAATTGAGTGCATTTTTGGTAATCTCTGCCCCTTTGTATGCCTTCTTCATTGTTAAACCTTTTGAAGCTTGTGTTGTTATCCATTCTCCCTTATGGTTGTTCCGTTAGGTATATCCTTGGGTATTCCGAGAGGTTATCTTGCACTTTTGGGTTTTGGAGAGGAACCGGGAAGGTTGGCCAATATTTTGGTAGTCCTAGTCTCACTTTTAGGTCGCTTGAGCAGTCATTTGGTCGCTCGAGCCGTGAAATCCACCTTTGCAGACTAAACTTCTGGGAGCATGAGTTATTTTCTCAAGCGAAGAATTCATCGCTCGAGCAGTCTTTTCCAGAGGGAATGGAGTTTCTGGGAGTGGGTATTTTTCGTTTGAGCACAGGTTTCATCGGTCTAGAGGTCTTTCAAATTGAACTATTCGCTCGAGCGCATGATTGGTCGCTTGAGCAGTTTGTCGACTGTTAGCCCCAAAAGTTGAGTTAAATCATTTCAAAAGTTAAGCCTTACACACTTTTCCATCTCTTTTCACTTGACACTCACTCTATCTACATTAACTCTAACTCTTTTTTCTCTCATCTCTCTCTAGAAGCCCTCACACCCACTTCATTTACTCATTGATCTCTCACTATCCATTGAGATTTTAACCTTGGCGCCTTCTTTAAATTTGGAGAGCTCGTCAAGGGCTACGTGGTGTATGGTGGAGATTGAAATTTAACACCGTTTGTTTTAGAACTTTTCATTATTTCTTCTCAAGGTCTTAAGGTGGTGGTGTTCTTTGAGTTATATATATGGTTTTTAGCATATCTTGTCATTTTCACTATGTTTTCTGGTGTGGATTGATTTTCGAGTGTTGAATCTAGAAAATATATATATATATATGAGAAATGTATTCTTTCTCATGATTTGGTCCAAGATAAATTGTTTTGGGTATACTATGAACTATTTGGGGATGTTTGCTTGTAGTAGTGTGTTGAAAATAAAGGGAAAATCCTGTTTTGATAAAACCCTAGGTTTTGGAAAATTTGGAAAAAAGTGAAATTGATTCAATATTTATGAAATTGATGATAAATCCCTTGAGAAATTTAAGTTCACTTTCTAAATGGTTATATTGTTGAGGCATTCATGAAATGAAATGAAATGAAAATTTGTGTTGAACAATTATGGAAACATTGGATGTGTATGTTGGCACTTTGGAAAAATTGAATAATGAATGTTGATTGTGAATATGTGGGAATCTCATGTCACATGGATTTGGTACCCATGCTATGATTTTGAGAACTTTTGAATCATGGAAGTTATATTTGAGCAAATGTGAGAAATGTTAGTTATATTGTATAAAGTAGATATTTATATGTAGTCAGTTCTCATTGATTCAATTGCATTATCTTGAATTTTGTTCACTTGCAATCTTAACTTTGAAATAAATTCTTCGCTCGAGAAAGACAATTGTTGTTAATGAAAATATTTTGGGGTAAATACATTTGGTAAGTGTAGCTTGACTTTTCATGCTCCTTTCGGATAAGATAGCCCTACAGTTCGGACTCCCGTGGTTCTGAATCTGATCTCACAAGTGCAATGTGAAATAGATAAACACAAAAGAGTCCAAATCTGGCAAATCTTTTGAAAAATCGATTTTGAATCAAAATGCCAAAAATTGACTGCTTTGTAAGATACAGAGTCACCACCTAAATATTTTTGAAAAATTTAAGAAACCCGAGACTCGTGCCAAAGGCCACTTATCCATCATCACCAAAGTGTCTCGGCTAGGGAACTTAGGTACGAGAAGGGAAATTCATGAATTGAGCACCCCACTCGCCCGATCAAAGATCGGCCACTACTAATCATGATGTGATTATTATTTACAATATATGCTCTTGTTCCGATTATTAGGCTAACTTACTATGTGATGCGCACACAAATATAGACTAAGTTGCAAAAATTACAACACTTTGATCTCATGTTTGTTTGAAAATTGCTCCGAATATGTACCATTTGAAAAAATAATTGCATATGTACATTACTCAAATTATCCCAATTTAAGCACTTTAGCCATCATCCATAGGCATTCAAGCAAGTATTTCAATTAAGCACTTAGCCTCATGATAATCATGCTCGACATGGCAACACTAACACTCATGCAATATGCTAAAGCAATAAAATGCTCACCTAGTACTCCGAGACAAGCCAAAACAAAGCAAAATAATTAGAAAAATGCATGCTCCTAACTAATGCGATACGACTAATGCAACACATGCGATATGCAACTAATAGGCTCAGCTACTAGTTATGACATTTGAATCAATTCGACAGCATCCAGTTTAAGCTTGTTTGTAAAGAAGTATTTAAACAACAATGCTTGTTATAATGATGAGCCAAACTCTGCGCATGCAAGACACACGGGTGCAAATTATGAGAAAGGCTAAGTAAACGAAATGTAATGCTCTAAACTATCCATCATTAGCGGGTAAATAAAAGGGAGAAAGACGTGAGGTTGAAAGACATACACGCATTATTACATATTGGTCCTCGCGCAGGAGGGTCCGAATAAATGAATTACCTAAGCTACTTAACTAATTATTACAACGCCGAAGTTAACTAACTATTCTAGCTAATTAAATAATTACACCACAAAATTAATTAATACGAATGATCTAATTACATGTTACAAGTCCACAAGTCAACGGTACCCAAGAAACGAGGGAAGGGCTTATGCATGCGCATGAATTTCTCCCTCGAGAATGCCTTTGCACTGTTTTACAGCTCAGCCTTTGCTCTGCTCTATAAAGAAAATGGGATTGCCTAGCGGAAAAAGGTGGCCTGCCAGACAGAAAAGGTGGCATGACGGCCACTAATGTTGGGTTTCTCCTGCTACAATAGAAAACAAGTGGAGCACAAACAGAGCATTTTCAAAGGATATTTGTCCA